TTCTAGGAGGTTTATAGTTTCAGGTCTTAACATCTTTAACCCATTTTGAGTTAATTTTTGTGTGTGGTATAAGACAGTGATGCAGTTGCATTCTTTTCCATGTACCTCTCAAGTTTCCCAGCATCATTTATTGCAGAGACTGTCCTTTCCCCAGGGTATGTCCTGAGTCCTTTGTTGTAAGTTAATTGACCACACACGTGGGGGGTTATTTCCAGGCTCCCTATTCCACCAATCTGTGTGTCTATTTTCTATGCTATCAAACTTCAGAAAATTTTTTAGGAGTCACCAGCTCTTGTGTTTCTCCCTTGTGACTGTTTATAAACTTTGTCCCTCTCCTCATGTGTACCTAGACTGCTTCCCGTCATGGGGAGACTTCATAGAGAAAATGGAGACTGTCACTTTTGCTTTTCTTTGGCTTTGTGTCACTGCAGCAGCATGTGCCTGTCCCCATCCCTGCTCCCTTTCCCTTCTGTGTGAAGTGGTGTCCTTTGTCATGGGCAAGACTCACTCCTCCACATCTGCTGTGGTCCCTCTTCTCTTCCCACTTGGATTCTGCCTCACTGGTTTGTCCCTCTTTTGTTTCCTCTTTCCCCCTCTACTGGCCTCTGCTTTTGCAGCCTGCAAACAATACAAAATGGCTAAGAGTCTCCTCCTTAAAAAAATATTCCTCTCCCGAATGCCAGATCATCCTCCAGCTGCCCTTCTCTCACTCTCTGCTTTGTTCATAGTGAGGCTCCTTAAAGGTCACTCTCTGCCCACCTGCCATTCTCCGGAAACTGATACAACCACAGCCTCTGGGGTCCTCGTGGTTGCTCAGTGCACCTGGCTCTTTTCAGTCCTTACCTCTGAATCCAGGTGGCTGGTGAAGACCCGAGCCTCATGCCCTGGGCAGAGATGTGTGGGCTGGGCTGGCACTGAGGCGGCAAGAGACAGACTTTACCCATCCCTGAGCCTCCTTTGCCCACCTTCTCCTCTCCCTGCTGTCCTGACTGCGCTGGCCTTCGGCTGGGTTCCGTGCTTTTGTCTCTGTTTGGTAAATGGCAGGGTCAGGCTTTAGCACCTGCCTAAGATGGGGCCACTTGCCTCTTTGGTGAGAGAAAACTCTTTGTCTGCCTTATTGTGCTCTTTCCCTGATGACCCCTGGTGTTTTAACTGCCCAATTTGCATAGTTCTTTAGTGCCTTTGCATCAGAATCATCACCTTCTTGGAGAATATGCTGGAAGAAAGATGCTGTTTCTACTCACCACATAAAGGAATATCTCTCTCCTCTCCTCTCCTCTCCTCTCTCTCCTCTCTCTCCTCTCTCTCCTCTCTCTTCTCTCTCTCCTCTCTCTCCTCTCTCTCCTCTCTCTCCTCTCTCTCCTCTCTCTCCTCTCCCTCCTCTCCCTCCTCTGTCTCCTTTCCCTCCTCTCTCTCCTCTCTCTCCTCTCTCCTCTCTCTCCTCTCTCTCTCTCTCTCTCTCTCTCTCTCTCCCCCCCCACCCCCAACCCCTCTCCCCCACTCCCACCCCCCAGCCTCAGATTTGTTTTCATGCTGCTGTTTAAGTGCTTGATCTTCTCTGCCCCAGGGTCAAGTCCACATTCTTGGAGCATGCGGTGCAGGATTCCCTGCCTGACCCCTCCTCCCTCTTTACTGCCTCTTCTCTCATTCTTGGTTTGCTCAGACTCCCCAGATGGTAATCCACCTTCTTTTACCTTCAGAGCCGCTCCAACCTGAGGTGGCAAGACCACTTACTCCTTTGTACCTCCCCTTACTCACACCCTAGTCAGTTTCTATCACTTTATTGTGTATGTTTCTTCCAGAAGGCTGAAAGCACTTGCCAGGTGGAACCTTGTAAGTCTTGGTTTCCCCCTTCCTAGCACAGTGCCTGGCAGGAAGAAAGTGCCCCGTTAATGGTGGCTGGGTGACATTGCAGACTCTTCGGGTTATGCCAGGGTAACAACCTGGGAGGCATTCCTTGTTGAATATTGTCCATGCCCTTGATGCCTGCGATATCACCTTGCTTGTAGATTGTGTCTGTGTGGCCAAAAGAATAACTCCATGCTTTCTAAAAGGCCTAGAGAAGATATAATGGGTACCTCTGTGGTGGTCAGAGACCATGGTGTATGGGGAAAGAGGATGCTGTAAGGGTAATAATTACATTGTGCTCTTACAGTATGCCAGACATTAGGTTAAATGCTCAATGAGGTGTAGATACTATTATTATCCCGGTTTTACAGCAAAGAAATGGGGTGTTTAGGTAATATCTGTTATGTCAGGGAGTTTGGACTTACTGTTAGGCTTTTTTAATCCAAAGAAAACAGAAATATTAGAAGGTTTAAATAGACACTAATACATTTTCTTTTCTTTAAAAAAGAAACACAGCCCTTCCTCTTAAACCTGAGGAATGTGTGTTTTTGTTTTGTTTTGTTTTCTTAATTAAACTGTTCTAGACCCAACTTCTTTATTCCTTCTTGTTAGTCTGTTTACTTTCTGTGTGTCTCCTCAACAAGACCATTTATATTGCTCAGACCAAATAGGGTGATACATTTGGGCCTTAACAGGCAGCCTAGTGCGGTGCTCTGTCCCTTGAATAAAAAGGGGTGAGGGTTGCTGGCATTATTGTTATGTACTATGCTAACCTCTCTGCAGGCCTTTCTCATTTTATTCCTCACAACAACTAAGTCCTCTTACTATTCCCACTTTTCCGACAAGGAAACTGAAGGTCTGGTGTCCCCCATCACTCAGCTATTAAGTAGCGTGAGCCTTGTCTCTGACCCTGAGGTCTGTGCTCTTATTTATCCTCAAGGGTACTACCTCCCACTTTCAGGAGCCTATTTTCCCACAGCTTTGGTCTTTCTAGGAATTCTTAACTATTTCATGACCCTTTTGTGTCCAAATGACTGCCTACCTGATATATTAACTCCTGGAGAGAACTGTATGCTTCGTAGGATTAACTTGGTTGCCTTGGTTATAGATTTGAACCTTTTATTTATGCTTCCAGATAACACCATCCCTTAAAATTTATGACATACTCAAACTTTGTTCATTCTTTGAGCTGTAAAAACAGATCTGTTTTGTAAGGGCTGGTCCAACTTAACCCTCCCAACCCTCTCCTTTATGATTTGATAGTTCTAGCAAAAGGCATAGGAGGACAGTGGGACCCCAAAAGCTGATGAGAACATGGCTGAAGTTAATATAAAATTACTTAAGTACTAGATCACCTAGAAATTTTGATGGTATTCTTTCTGAAAATGCTTATGGTTATTTATAAACAAAGTAAATAAAAACTTCTCCCTTGTAACATTGCTAGAATATAATGTCTAACATCACAAAATAGCCTCATATAAATTTTTTGCTCTTCCTTTTAAAAAGCCAGCAGTTTTCTAGCTTTCTTGTAATAATGTCACTGAAAATACCCAAGAGTTTAAATATAATTTTCTCTCACATGCTTATGTTATAGATATTTGTCTCTGGGAAAACTTTATATGGGTTCAAGGTGGGCCCTTCTCATGTCACATGCTACTCCTGAGTGAGGTTGAATTATAAATTGAAACATGTTTTTTATAAAATGGTAGTAGTAGCCAAAATACTCTATAATTTTGTCCTCAAAGCATTGTTTATAAAGGAGATAAACATACTAGATTCTACCTATAGAGTGAAGCTCAAGTGCTGAGCTCAGTCGAGTAGGAATCCTTATAAATAGTAATTCTAAAGCATGGGGCCCAAGATCTAACCACTTAGCCAGCTCTGTGGGCCACATGGTCATGCTGTTATAAATGTGGACACAGCCTTGAGTGTATAGACATTGCCTAGCTGCCTAGAAGCACACAGACTCCAAGATGAATGGGTGGCTTTTTTTCTAAAATAGATAAGCCTGAGTATTTGGTGATAGAAAGAGATACCTCAAAGCCCTCGAACAGAAAATTCTTGCCTTCCTCTCCTGTGGAGTTCCCTGTTTGCCTGTGGGAGGAAGAGGGAGTTGTCAGAATACAATTCTAAGAATGTTAGGAGCTGTGCTTTGGTTCACCTGCTACTGGTATAGAAATCCCCAAGGTCCTTGTGGAGGGCAAAGGATCAGATAAGAAAGAAGTCATTCTTCATAGGTTGAGAAATGTGAAACCTTAGAAATTCTTGCAGATGAATATTATTCCCTTCTAGTCTGAGAAACCTTTCTTCCTAGCAAGAGACACATGGAATAAATCACTGATGGTGTGAACAATATTTGAGATAAATTGTGACTGTCAGATAGTTTCTTAGTTCTGCGAGGGCATGGAGACTGCAGCAGCTGAGTGTATATTTTAATTCAGTGGAATATATTCAGACTCCATGTTTGTAGCCAAGGGTTCAACGTACATTATAGGCAATAGTTTCATGTCTACTCTTGAGCAATTAAACCATTTGTCCAAAATTTCTATTTAGTAGAAGCACTAAGCCCAGGTCAAAAATGTTCTCAGAGACATTAACAAAGTCTAATGGACGTCTGATTTTTCTGGACACTTCCACCACTTCTGTGGCTGAGAAAAATTATGCTGGATGTATGGTGCATCACTGAACAGTGACCTTTCAGGTTAATTAAGGAAGTTGGAGCCTCAGAAGATTATTGAGCAACTTTTTTGTTGCCTGAGGGAACCACAGAACAGAAATGTGGCATAAATGTTTAGAAAGGAGGTGATTTTCAAGGCTGTGAAAATGAAATGAGGACCAGCTGCCAGAAGAAAGTGCTTTCATGTAAATTCTAAAGAGAGATACTTTTTTATTCTAAGTAAAATGTGGCCCCTCAGACCTGTTAGTTTTTCTAAAAATTGGCTTTTCTATATTTACATTAAGCCTTTTATTTGCTTCTACTTAATATATGAGCAAACAGTGAAGATAAAGAGGAAAATGGGTTAATTCTACAAGAATGTGTACAGTGGATGCATTAACATTTTCAATATTCTGTATAAAAATGTTTGCTCACTCTGTATGCTAAGTAGTTTAATCATGCCAGGCACCTAATGACCAGTTTTCTTGTTTTCCAGTGGACTCAGGTGTAGACACTTTGACAGTGTTTATGGCCAGCAGCGGAACTACACACGTCACGAATCGAAACAGCCCGGCCACACCACCAAATACCCTTAATCTCCGTTCCTCCCACAATGAACTGTTGAATGCTGAAATAAAACACACAGAAACAAAGAACAGCACCCCCCCCAAATGCAGGAAAAAATATGCACTAACTAACATCCAGGCAGCAATGGGCCTCTCAGATCCAGCTGCACAGCCCTTGCTGGGAAATGGCTCTGCCAACAGTAAGCTGGTGAAAAATGGGGAGAACCAGCTCCGGAAGGCTGCAGAACAAGGGCAGCAGGACCCCAACAAAAACGTCAGCCCCACTGCAGTCATCAACATAACTTCTGAGAAGTTAGAGGGTAAAGAGCCCCATCCACGGGATTCCCCGGGCTGTGAAATTTTACCCTCCCAGCCCAGGAGAACCAAGAGTTTCCTAAATTACTATGCAGACCTGGAAACCTCAGCCAGAGAACTAGAGCAGAACTTAGGCCACCAGCATGGAGTTGTGGAAGAGAAGTCTCAGCCAGACCCAGGCCCAGCCCCCACCACCGTCGGAAATGGCGAGTTGCTGGTGCAGAAACCTAACAAGCCCCAATGCAGCCCTGAAGATGGCCAGGTGGCCACAGTATCATCCAGCCCAGAGACCAAGAAGGATCATCCTAAAACGGGGGCCAAAACTGATTGCGCACTCCACCGGATCCAGAACCTGGCTCCGAGCGACGAGGAGTCCAGCTGGACCACACTGTCCCAAGACAGCGCCTCACCTAGCTCCCCAGATGAAGCAGGTACCCCTGGGAAAGATGTAGACTACGTTGGCACTGTTTCTTTCAGTTATTGGTGGAATTAATCTCTAGACTTAGCAGAAAAATCCATTTGCAGGCATAGAAGAACATGAGCCTCTTGGGTTAGAATTAGGCAATTTGCATGGAAATGAGATTCCTCAGTGGTTTCATTTTGGTTCACTCTGGTAAGCATTTTTGTAAAAGAATTTGATTGTTGGTGTTAAGTACAGTAAAATACCATCTATTTGGAAATTATACTGCCAGTGCTTAGGTTAACTATTTCTATATACTGTCTAGGAATATTCGTTTTTGCTAAGCAAAAACTGAAAGAAATAGTGTGGCCAGGGGACAGGCTACAACTCGGTTAAGAGAAGCAACTATTTTAAAGTTCTCAGAAGAACTTATTTATGCTCAAGCTCATGAAAAGTTAAAAGTTTAAAGTCTGTTCATTAAAGCCATTTCCCTTTTGACCTTTCCTGGGGAACATTCTATTAGGTTGTTCAGTGATGTTTGAAAGTGAGAAAGTGCTGTTTCTTTTTAAACATATTGAGATGTTCAGGATTTGAACTAGTTTGATTGAGACTTGTGTGTGCAGTATCTGTAACATCTTGGGGTCAGTCGAGGCAAAATTGTGAAAGAAATGAGCAGGGTCCTAAAGTCAGCTATTTTTAAACTCAACTTCTGATAGCCTCCCATTATACTGTTCAGCAGATTAAAAGATGTGGAAGACTTTGCTGTATCTGAATTCAGTATAAATAAGCACTCACAAAGCTACCCACCCCCCCACCTCTCCCCTCCCTCTTTTTCAGTTGTAACCCTGGAACTGCCCTGGTGAGTCACAGGTCTATGTCAGTGTGATACAGATATAACAGATAGAGCCACCAGGGAAGGAAATTACATTTTCCTAACCTATAATGCAGAGAAATTACAAGGACTACAGATAAGGAAAAGGGAAGGAGAAAGTTAAGGCATTAACTTGTTTTAAAAAAGTGTGTTTGAAGTCCCCTCTGAAAATGCAGCTCTTTACATGACAGATCTCATCAGCTTGCTGTGGCTAGATATGGTAGGAGGGTGGTTGAGATGGGTCCATGTCATCTTATAAACGTCTGGACCTGCACATTATTGGAACCATTAAACGTCTGGACCTGCACATTATTGGAACCGTAATTATGTTTAGTAATGTCACTGAGTTTACAGCTCTGTTAATTTGTCCCTATTGAGAGAATTCCTATCCTGAATTGATGGACCCTGTCACCTTCTAGTGTTTGAATCAACATGAAGGACTCCCTGAATATCTTACATCCAAACTGTTTTTTATAAAATGGTAGTAGTAGCCAAAATACTCTATAATTTTGTCCTCAAAGCATTGTTTATAAAGGAGATAAACATACTAGATTCTACCTATAGAGTGAAGCTCAAGTGCTGAGCTCAGTCGAGTAGGAATCCTTATAAATAGTAATTCTAAAGCATGGGGCCCAAGATCTAACCACTTAGCCAGCTCTGTGGGCCACATGGTCATGCTGTTATAAATGTGGACACAGCCTTGAGTGTATAGACATTGCCTAGCTGCCTAGAAGCACACAGACTCCAAGATGAATGGGTGGCTTTTTTTCTAAAATAGATAAGCCTGAGTATTTGGTGATAGAAAGAGATACCTCAAAGCCCTCGAACAGAAAATTCTTGCCTTCCTCTCCTGTGGAGTTCCCTGTTTGCCTGTGGGAGGAAGAGGGAGTTGTCAGAATACAATTCTAAGAATGTTAGGAGCTGTGCTTTGGTTCACCTGCTACTGGTATAGAAATCCCCAAGGTCCTTGTGGAGGGCAAAGGATCAGATAAGAAAGAAGTCATTCTTCATAGGTTGAGAAATGTGAAACCTTAGAAATTCTTGCAGATGAATATTATTCCCTTCTAGTCTGAGAAACCTTTCTTCCTAGCAAGAGACACATGGAATAAATCACTGATGGTGTGAACAATATTTGAGATAAATTGTGACTGTCAGATAGTTTCTTAGTTCTGCGAGGGCATGGAGACTGCAGCAGCTGAGTGTATATTTTAATTCAGTGGAATATATTCAGACTCCATGTTTGTAGCCAAGGGTTCAACGTACATTATAGGCAATAGTTTCATGTCTACTCTTGAGCAATTAAACCATTTGTCCAAAATTTCTATTTAGTAGAAGCACTAAGCCCAGGTCAAAAATGTTCTCAGAGACATTAACAAAGTCTAATGGACGTCTGATTTTTCTGGACACTTCCACCACTTCTGTGGCTGAGAAAAATTATGCTGGATGTATGGTGCATCACTGAACAGTGACCTTTCAGGTTAATTAAGGAAGTTGGAGCCTCAGAAGATTATTGAGCAACTTTTTTGTTGCCTGAGGGAACCACAGAACAGAAATGTGGCATAAATGTTTAGAAAGGAGGTGATTTTCAAGGCTGTGAAAATGAAATGAGGACCAGCTGCCAGAAGAAAGTGCTTTCATGTAAATTCTAAAGAGAGATACTTTTTTATTCTAAGTAAAATGTGGCCCCTCAGACCTGTTAGTTTTTCTAAAAATTGGCTTTTCTATATTTACATTAAGCCTTTTATTTGCTTCTACTTAATATATGAGCAAACAGTGAAGATAAAGAGGAAAATGGGTTAATTCTACAAGAATGTGTACAGTGGATGCATTAACATTTTCAATATTCTGTATAAAAATGTTTGCTCACTCTGTATGCTAAGTAGTTTAATCATGCCAGGCACCTAATGACCAGTTTTCTTGTTTTCCAGTGGACTCAGGTGTAGACACTTTGACAGTGTTTATGGCCAGCAGCGGAACTACACACGTCACGAATCGAAACAGCCCGGCCACACCACCAAATACCCTTAATCTCCGTTCCTCCCACAATGAACTGTTGAATGCTGAAATAAAACACACAGAAACAAAGAACAGCACCCCCCCCAAATGCAGGAAAAAATATGCACTAACTAACATCCAGGCAGCAATGGGCCTCTCAGATCCAGCTGCACAGCCCTTGCTGGGAAATGGCTCTGCCAACAGTAAGCTGGTGAAAAATGGGGAGAACCAGCTCCGGAAGGCTGCAGAACAAGGGCAGCAGGACCCCAACAAAAACGTCAGCCCCACTGCAGTCATCAACATAACTTCTGAGAAGTTAGAGGGTAAAGAGCCCCATCCACGGGATTCCCCGGGCTGTGAAATTTTACCCTCCCAGCCCAGGAGAACCAAGAGTTTCCTAAATTACTATGCAGACCTGGAAACCTCAGCCAGAGAACTAGAGCAGAACTTAGGCCACCAGCATGGAGTTGTGGAAGAGAAGTCTCAGCCAGACCCAGGCCCAGCCCCCACCACCGTCGGAAATGGCGAGTTGCTGGTGCAGAAACCTAACAAGCCCCAATGCAGCCCTGAAGATGGCCAGGTGGCCACAGTATCATCCAGCCCAGAGACCAAGAAGGATCATCCTAAAACGGGGGCCAAAACTGATTGCGCACTCCACCGGATCCAGAACCTGGCTCCGAGCGACGAGGAGTCCAGCTGGACCACACTGTCCCAAGACAGCGCCTCACCTAGCTCCCCAGATGAAGCAGGTACCCCTGGGAAAGATGTAGACTACGTTGGCACTGTTTCTTTCAGTTATTGGTGGAATTAATCTCTAGACTTAGCAGAAAAATCCATTTGCAGGCATAGAAGAACATGAGCCTCTTGGGTTAGAATTAGGCAATTTGCATGGAAATGAGATTCCTCAGTGGTTTCATTTTGGTTCACTCTGGTAAGCATTTTTGTAAAAGAATTTGATTGTTGGTGTTAAGTACAGTAAAATACCATCTATTTGGAAATTATACTGCCAGTGCTTAGGTTAACTATTTCTATATACTGTCTAGGAATATTCGTTTTTGCTAAGCAAAAACTGAAAGAAATAGTGTGGCCAGGGGACAGGCTACAACTCGGTTAAGAGAAGCAACTATTTTAAAGTTCTCAGAAGAACTTATTTATGCTCAAGCTCATGAAAAGTTAAAAGTTTAAAGTCTGTTCATTAAAGCCATTTCCCTTTTGACCTTTCCTGGGGAACATTCTATTAGGTTGTTCAGTGATGTTTGAAAGTGAGAAAGTGCTGTTTCTTTTTAAACATATTGAGATGTTCAGGATTTGAACTAGTTTGATTGAGACTTGTGTGTGCAGTATCTGTAACATCTTGGGGTCAGTCGAGGCAAAATTGTGAAAGAAATGAGCAGGGTCCTAAAGTCAGCTATTTTTAAACTCAACTTCTGATAGCCTCCCATTATACTGTTCAGCAGATTAAAAGATGTGGAAGACTTTGCTGTATCTGAATTCAGTATAAATAAGCACTCACAAAGCTACCCACCCCCCCACCTCTCCCCTCCCTCTTTTTCAGTTGTAACCCTGGAACTGCCCTGGTGAGTCACAGGTCTATGTCAGTGTGATACAGATATAACAGATAGAGCCACCAGGGAAGGAAATTACATTTTCCTAACCTATAATGCAGAGAAATTACAAGGACTACAGATAAGGAAAAGGGAAGGAGAAAGTTAAGGCATTAACTTGTTTTAAAAAAGTGTGTTTGAAGTCCCCTCTGAAAATGCAGCTCTTTACATGACAGATCTCATCAGCTTGCTGTGGCTAGATATGGTAGGAGGGTGGTTGAGATGGGTCCATGTCATCTTATAAACGTCTGGACCTGCACATTATTGGAACCATTAAACGTCTGGACCTGCACATTATTGGAACCGTAATTATGTTTAGTAATGTCACTGAGTTTACAGCTCTGTTAATTTGTCCCTATTGAGAGAATTCCTATCCTGAATTGATGGACCCTGTCACCTTCTAGTGTTTGAATCAACATGAAGGACTCCCTGAATATCTTACATCCAAACTCTACCTCCTGTTTTCAAAACTCCCCATGAAGTCCTCACTGGCTTCTTTCTATTGTGACAGCCTTTTGGGCAGTTTTCCAGGCATGACACTTTCTAGTCTAGTTACATTTTAAATTTTACTGTACAGTGTTAAATGAACAGTAAAGTGTCCCCTGCTCCTAACTTTAGCCACCTTTCCCGATGATGACATGAGCATAATCCCATGTTTATAATAAATTTAAATTTTTATCCCAATTTTATGATAATGATATTTTTTAAGAGTCTTTACCTTTTAGAGATAAATACTAATACTTCATAGTATATAACTAATACATCATATGCATAATATAATATATATTAACATAAATAATATTGTGTATGGAATTTTCTCCAAACTAATTTGGGGGGTGAGGGTAGGTGATAAAAAAAAAATTGCCCATAAGCTGATAATTGTTCCTGGTAGGTACATAAGGGTTCATTATTCTGTTCTCTCTGATTTTGTATGCTTAAATTTTTCCACATTAAAAAGCAAAAACAAGAAAAATTTGCTCATGTTAGATTGTTTAATGAATGTTTTGCTTTTTCCTCTTAAATATGTATTTTGTCAAGCAGCCAGATCAAGCAGGGCATACCATTTTTCCACCTCAGGCTTTTAAAGTATTAGGCGCGCTATTACACCTTACTCCAACTCCATGGCTTGTTTAACAACCCTCTCCCCGCTGAGGATCCAGATTATTTCTCCCCACAGCCACTTCACTAACTGAGTACTGGTGTCAGCGAGGGGCATGGAGAGCAGGAATATTCAGCTGAGCAAGGGTGCTGAGCTCCGTCTATGGGGCCTCTCCCCAGGAGACCTTTCTGGGGGTGCCCCTGTGCTCACCACCGCTTTGCCCAGGGGCTTGGCATTCCCTTCTCTTGGTTTCTCACCCATTACAGTGCTCAATACCCAACGTGAACTGGATTAGCGTTTTCTGACATGTTGAGAGGTTGCGTTCATTTTTCTCTCTTAAAAGTCAGGTTTGAAGAACTTTGAATGTTGAAGTATGACAGTGTGGTGGTAGCTTAAGTGTCGCTAAGGCAGACATTTTAAATGAAAGCTGCCTGAAAAAAAATGTGTTAGCTATGGCGCTAAAGCAGCAAGACGGAGTTTTTAAAAAACATACTAGAAGCCAAACCTGTGCTGTTCCTCAGAATGGTCGTGTTGGGATCTCTGAGCCTAGTTCAGCATGCTGCAGTGTCTCAAGATATTACCCTGAATACTATTTGGAAATTCATTTGGAATTTCCTCGTAGACAGTTGTGAACTCCTGCTGAAAAGAAACCTTTTTACTTCATGATCACACTTCAGAGTTGCAGGTAGTGACCACTGCATAAATTAGTAAAATAAACAGTTATTCAGCACTGGTATTTCTTTGGATTTCATCTTTCCAGTGAGACATACTGTTAGTGTTTACAATGATCCCAATCAGTTTAAATTAACCATGGTGTGTTTCACTTCTAATGTTAAAACAAGTGTTTATTATATGTTTTACATAGTATACACATGTTTATATATATAATAAACACAAATACAAACTGTTGAAATAAAAAAGCAAATATTTTGTAAGATACTAGTATGCAGTGCCATAGTATATATATAAAAAGTGTATATATTTCTTTGCTTATTTGCTGCATGTTAAGTAAATACTCATCACAGTGGTGTGTGTTTTATGACTAAATCGTGACACAGTTATCTTTGGATTGTAGAGTGCTTTGGGAAGCCTAGAAAAATAGACTCATTTCTACCTTAGGGGCTTCCTTTCCAAGATATAATGCTATTTACAAAATAAATTGCACTGCCTAACCCAGAGATTGACTACTTTCTATTTCCCTTTCTTTCTGAATTGCCATCTCCCGCATTTTAGTAGTCTTTTTTTTTTTTGCAAAAATCAGTGATGTATACAATATGTTGCTCCTCTTTTCCTCCTATGTAGTCTGTCCTTTGAGGGAGCTCAAAGAGGCTATTGGGGAAAAAAAGCATCTGTGAAATTACTGAGTTTCATAGGAATTTAGAAAAGTTCAAAAGAATGCCTTGTCCTAATTCTCAAAGAAAGGGTCTCATAGTTTTAGTACTTGAAAGTAAGAATGTTTAACCTATTAGGGTGTTTCCAGAGATACAGTTCCGTGGGCTTCCCAGCGAGCACAGTGGGTCAGAGAAATACAGGTTGGCCGGACTGTGTGTCATCTCTCTGTCATCACCTGTTGTTTTATGTTTGCTTCATGAAAACTCTTGAAAGACACAACTGCTTGGTGCTACTGGGTATAGGTTTAATTTGGGGCTAAACAAAATTGAAGATACAGAGTACAAAACTGGGTAGATCTTATAGAATAGCCATTTCAAAATTAGGTTCATTGCTGACGTGTCGAAAGGACATACACAGAGAAAACCAGATCTAGGTGGTATGGCAGTAGACCTAATGCTTCACTCACTTATCCCTAAGAGCACGGGTCCTGAGTTCAAATGTCAGCTTTGTGACATGTAGGCAGATCACATAGCATCTCATCTATAAGATGGGGGTGACAGGGTTTGGCCTAGGCCTGGCATGAGGATTAAATGAGAGCATCTTTGAAATGCTCTCAGAACAGTGTCTGGCATGTAGCAAGAGCTTTATAAATATGAATGCTTATTATTAGTGATCATCATTAGCAGTACAGTGGTGGAATAAAAAAGTTCACTTCTCTTTTAGTCATGAATTACCTATATTTTGGACTTCAATTTTTCTTAGGACTTTCTGTACCCTAAGGGCAGGGATGTCTTCATTTTTGTATTGTTGGTGCCTGACATATAGTAGGTAGACTTAGTAAATAAGTAATGATTTATTGAATAAAAATGGAGGTCATCTACCTATCCCAAAATGTCCCAGGTGTATTAAGTCTTGTGATGGCATATCCTAATCCATGTTTGATTTTGATATTGGGTATGTATTTTATAACTTAATTGATGACATTGCCTTATACTAGATGGGGCCGAATAACCAGTTACTGGGGAAGGCACAGTAGAATTCTGCAGGCCTACTCTGCCAGATGTTCATGCTACTTCTCATACTCAGGTAGTCATGCTGGGACTTGAACCAAGGTGTTCAGACATAGCATTCAGTGCTTTCCTACTGTGCCATAGTCTTGAAATGTGGGCATGGAGCCCCCAGAGGCTGACTACATCAGACTTCAGACTTTATCCACTTCAACTGGTTATCTTGAGTCTCTGAAAAATAGAAAATTATATATATATATATATATTTTTTAATTTTGTATTAAGGTATTATTGATATGCACTCTTATGAAGGTTTCACATGAAAAAACAATGTGGTTACTACATTCACCCATATTATCAAGTACTCTCCACATACTGCATTGCAGTCACTGTCCATCAGTGTAGTAAGATGCCACAGATTCACTGTTGGTCTTCTCTGTGCTACACTCTTTGGAAAATTATATTTTAAAGGATCTTTCCATTCCTGTAAGGAGCTGAGATTTAGCTCAAGTATCATGTCCTCTGAGAAACCTTTCTAGTCCCTCTGAGCTGTTGAAAGCCCTTTCTCTGTACCCCAAAGACATATTTCCAAGTCTCTCTTACCATGTTCCTCTCAGCAGGTTGTAACCTTATTTGAAAGTTTCTATTTAGATACCCAGCTCCATGGAAGCAGGAGCCAAGTCTCCATTATGTGTGGATATGAACCT